TTTTGAATTTCCCCTCACTTTCTTTCTCAGTGACAATGGTCATTAGTACAAATAGAGGGTGACTATCTCCAACAGGGACACAAGCAGTAATAAAAGAGAGATGAAATGTGGCACTGGATATGGATCCTTGATATATGAGATAATATACTGTATGCGTATAATATATAAGATAATATACAGTATATTGCCAAAAGTATTGGGAAACCCCTCCAAATTATTGGATTCAGGTGTTCCAATCACCTCCATGGCCACAGGTGTGTAAAATCAATCTAATATGTGAAATAGAGAAAAAAAAAAGTGCAACAAACTAAATAGCACAAAAGCTGCTCTCCTAACCAAAAAAGGTAAAAATGTGAATAAATCAAAGAGTGCGCTAAATATAAGTAAATACAAAAATTATTAGTTTCAAATAATGATGTCCGTGATAGAAAAAAATTTATATAAAAGTCCATCCACCATAACAAAGTAATTAAACAGTTCTGAAATCTTGTATAAATCAAACACCGTGCAAAAAAAATCCACCACCGAATGAAATGGGTACACTCACCAGCGCTCCATGCTGACCAGATTATAAATCAGCAAAGATAGCGTTTGCTCTGGGAGTGATGATCAGCAGAAGTAATCCAAACTGGGAGCAATATACTGCAAGCAGCCAATCAGCACAATATGGAATAGCCTTAAAAGCAGGTAGTCATCACGTCTGTACATATCATACTCTGTATTATACCATGCCCTTTTATAACAAAAAATGGGACCCTTGGCAAGAACATAGGCAAACATTCATATAAACTTTGTTGTGCTTGGGTCCAACTGTTATTATATGGTGGTAGAATTGTGATACTCCCTGACACATCAGAAAGTACCCTCCTTATTTCAGACATTGGTACAATGCTGCTGCTTTAATGTCTTTAGATGGATTATGTATCTTATGCCAAATCTTCCTTCAAATCTGACACTGTCTTGTTGGCTTCAGCATACAGGTTATATAAAAGCTATTTTGTACTGTCTCTTTTTGTTGACATCTCAGATGTTGTCTCATTTATATGCTGTTGAAATTGAATACAAATTTGTAAACCAAAAAAAAAATATTAAAAGTTTGTGCAATGACTGATCATGAAGTGTTGTGTCAATGATAGACCATTAATGATCTCACAGTACATAAACAGAATATACTGAATTTCACACTGTAACCCTGTAGATCACTAATGGGTTGAAAAAACAATATAAACATTACTGATCCACTGACTAATCAACAAGTAAGTGCAGGTACAAAGTAGATAAAGTAACATGATATAGTATGAGATGAATGTTACATGATAGATACCCAGTAGATACTAAGCTCTACACGTTTCACTTACACGTCTTTGGGGGAGATAAGTGCAAACTTATCTGCAAGAAAACATGATGTCAACAATGGAAACCAAATTCGATAAATCACCATATAATGGTGATACTAAAAGGATCAATTACATATAGTGTGTCCATTAGTTCATTGCAATACATATTCACTCAGCCAACATTCAACTACTTTCCTGTAAATAACAGAAAAAGGCAGCAGGCACTGACTTGTTTCTGGGGCTCAGCACTCCCCCTTTATCATGTTTCTAAAATAAACAAGATGTCAATTGGACCCAGAGAAAAGCAGAGGCAGTGCGGCTTCAACATATATTTGACAATGCTTTGCAACTAAAATCTTTGTTTTTAATGCAAATTGTTAGGCAGTGTATTTTTATGCTGGCTAGCTGGTATATGTGCTGATAAATACATTTTTCTAAATACAAGGTTGCTGTGTACTAAAAGCTAAATACAAGTTTGCTGTGTGCAAAACTCATTATTGTGCACCTTGTTCTCAAAGCAAATTATAAATTGGGGTGGCTGCCATTATTGATCAACATTACTACCAGATCTGCTTCAGCAAAAATCTACAACTAATTGTCCTGTTCACCTGTTACCTTTTCCATGATGTAGTCAAGGCCAAAACTGAAAGTACTAGCTTAGCATCTCCCAGAAAACACCTCCTTTCTGATTTGCAGCTTGGAATTGATTTGGCAGGTATTGATCCACCACCAGAACAATCCAAAAAACTGGTCTAGAGTAATGATAGCTGATGCAGAAGCAAGTGCATGTGGATAGGAAATGTCCAAAAAGCTAGAGTAGATTAGCAATATAGTACAGACATGAAAAAATGTGAAAAAGTATCCTATGAGAAAATAATATATGGCAACTGTGGCTGAGATACACTCACAATGTCTGATACAATTTCTTCTATTTACTTTAAATCGTTAAGTCTTCCACAGATCTTACACAGCCACTCTCCTGTAGAAGCTATCAGCAATTTACCAATGATGTATTGGAGGCGATTTACTAAAACTGGAGAATGAAAAATCTGGTGCAGCTCTGCATAGAAACCAATCAGCTTCCAGGTTTTATTGTCAAAGCTTAACTGAACAAGCTGAAGCTAGAAGCTGACTGGCTACCATGCACAGCTGCACCAGATTCTGAGTGCACCAGTTTTAGTAAATCTCCTCCACTGTTTTTCTGGACAAGAGGTGCTAGCAGCCAGGTGGGCATTGTTTAAATTGACTCAGCAGCTTAGCTGGAATGGTCCCTGCCTATCTATGGTAGATAGGCAGAACCAATACTAAGCAAGTGAAGAAGCCTGGATGTTGGCAGATGAAATGGATGGCAATGTTGCTTATTGTGGCTCAGTTGAAAGGATGGGCATAGATCTGTAGAAGTGGATAGATCTTGCGGTGGAAGAAATACCCTATTTATCCAGACTGATTTTCTATTTCTGATACTGCTGTCTTGGCGGGTGCTGTGCTGCAGCTCAGCTACTCTATTTATCAAGTACTTCTACCTATCCACTTCTACCAAAAAATTTATCTTTCTAGAAATCTCTCTGAAGCTGGTGGGCTGAAAGAAAAATTTCTAAATATAAAAAAAAATTCCTAAGAAATAAAACATGCTATAGCGCACAAATGAATGAATCTCCAACTGCTCATATTGTATTTTGACAGGGCTCTCATAAAATCCAAAAATGTTCTATCTGAAGGCTTTGATTTTTCAGTAAAGAATGTTGGGTGGGGGAGTGGTGACAGGACCACCATGGAGCAAATTTTGAAAGGTTAGTTATGAATTGCCCAAACTTTTGCATAGTGTATAGTAAGTTTTACTTTTTCTCTAAACCTCCACTGAATGTGGGGAAGACCTAGGAATGTGAGATAGACCAAAGCTGAGAAAGGCCAGGGAAGTAAAGTTTTTGTATAGCTGTCTACCTGGTTGAAGTGATTTCCCTTAACTTTCTCTTCTTGAGATGAAACAAGAAGTAAGATAAATTATCTACAAAGTGTGCTGAATTTTCATGTTAACCCCTCCCGGGCCTTTAAGTTGTGACGGAAGGATGGGGTTTAGGGTCATGTGACCACCATGTTTGGCATGATTGGCTGTTCACGGCGGTCACATAATCAGCAAGCTCCAAACCGCAAGCAGTGATCGTGTCCTTTCCGTGAGGCAGCGGTAAATGTACCAGGAGTGCTCAGGGCACGTGTTCTCGGCACATCTGTTGTTAACATTGAGTATGAAAATATGCGGCCCCCCAGCACCGAGGCCCAGCTGTCGAGAGGCCTAATATGTGCATGTAGTTAAACAGTTGTGACAGACTGGAACAAGTATCCAACCAGTGAGTCAGAACTTGTTTCAGTAACTACTGGAACCATTGGATAAGCATGCCATTCAGTCTATACTAGCATTCTTAGAAGGAAATATAGGCTATAGCGTTCTATTTACCCAGTACAGGTTTTCTTTAAAGCAGAACTTCACCCAAAGGGGGAAGTTCCGCCTCCTCCCTCCCTTCTTTCCCACTTCTGGACACATTTATTTTGGGGGGAGTGGATACCTAGGCAATCCAAGTAGAAGTTCACCTTTCCTCTCTTTGCCAGGAGCCTTCTGGGATACATCACAGGTCCCAGGAGGCTGTGAGACCATTCACAAACTCAGCGCGACTCTCAAATACACAGTGGGAAGCCAGTTGTGAAGCCATAAGGAGTCACAGCTGGCTTCCTAAAGTAAATATGGCAACACCAGGGACCCAAAGACTAGTGAAGAACTGGTCTCGGTGAGGATGGCTCTGTATCACTGAACAGGTGAGTATCCTTTTATTAAAAGTCAATAGTTATAGGATTTTTAGCTGCTGAGTTTTATATTTTTTGGGAGGGGTGTGGCGGGGTGGGAGTTAAAGATATTTTTTTCAAAGGTGTCAAGGTGACTGTCATTGGAAACTCTTTTGTTAAAAGACTGGCTAGCACAGCAAGTTTTGCTAATATACTGTAACTTATTACAGGCATTGTTGATCCTGGCAGTTTTACATTTTAATGATTTTACAGAGTTTATATAATTGTGCAAAAAGGGTAAAAATAAATGTGCAATTAGAAAGCTTGGATGTATTAATAGATGGTTCTTACCCTGCCCACACATCACTATTAGGCACACAAGTGCAAGCCCTTGTAATACTTTCTGTAGCCTACATATCATTCAAGGCTGAAGGCTTAATGCACAGTGAATAAATCACTGATAAAAAAAGGAGACTGATGTGCACAATTTGGTAGGGAAGAGTGATTGAGTATGCATACAAGGATAAAGCAAAAAGCAAACATCCCACAACAATGAAAAAAATTGGATTACAACCTTAGATGAATTGAAATGTAAGGCTACAGCCAAAGATACATTTTTATAAAATGTTATCTAAACAATTCTGTTACTCATCATAGTATATCAAGTGCAAAGACAGAAGGCTATTACATGAAACTATTCAGAAATTCAGATCAGTGGGTAGTTTCTGTAAAGTGCTGGGAAATGTCCACTGGTTCTTAGGAGCCCTGTAAGTATGCACAGTTCTAATAAAAGTGACAGTTTCATCAAGCCCCTTCTGCTGCTGAGGGCAGAAATCTTTGTGAACCTATTGGAGGAATTACTTTGAGAGTATAGATGGTTTGACCTAAATGGTTGACAGTGCAGATTGTGCAGGATTTCAGGATTGTGCACAAGAACTAGCTGGGCTTTTACTGGAAGAAAGGTTAGCAGGAGCAACATTACTGGTATTTGCCAATAAACAAGATTTGCCTGCTGCATTATTAAAGGATGCCACAAGAGAGCCATTGGAGCTGGATAGCATTAACCGCTTACCCGCCGCCGTGTAGCAGAAATACTGCTACACGACGGCACGGATGCGCAAAATCATGTATATATACATGAATTTGCATTTCCGGGTTGTGGGTGCACGTGATGTGCACGCCCTACCCGCACTGCCATTCACGACTGCGGATGTCAATCACCGGGTCCCGGACGGTGATTACCCACCGGTGCCTGGTGGTTACCGACAATCACCAACGGGGAGGAAGACTGTTTTGTTTACAAACAGTCTTTCTCCTTGTCAGCTTGCACACACTGCTTGTGATGGCTCTGCACAGCACAGTATGCTTACAGTGAAGCACACACCCCCTGCCCCCTAGTAAAACACTCCCTACACACAGTTAACCCTTTGATCGCCCCTCACATTAACCCCTTCCTGCCTAGTGTCATTAGTACAGTGTCTGTGCTGTTATTTAGCACTGATCACTGTATTGGTGTCACTGGGGATGTTCGTGACACCAAGTTAGTTCCCCCCCTAGTGTCAGAATGCCCGCCGCAGTCCCGCAGTCCCACTAAAAGTCACTGATCGCTGCCATTACTAGTAGGAAAAAAAATCCCAGTATCTATACCGCCATTTTTAAACGCTATAACTTTCACATAAATCAATTAATTTACACATATTGTGATTTTTTTTTTTAGCAAAGTCATGTAGCAGAATACATTTTGGCCTAAATTTATGATGAAATTTGATTTTTTACATTTTTTTTTACTGGACATGTTTAACCACTTGCCTACCAGGCACTTATACCCCCTTATTTACCAGGCCAATTTTCAGCTTTCAGCGCTGCCGCACTTTGATTGACAATTGCACGGTCATGCAACATTGTACCCATATGAAATTTTGATCATTTTTTTCTCACAAATAGAGCTTTCTTTTGGTGGTATTTAATCGCCACTGGGCACTTTACTTTTTGCGCTAAAAATAAAAAAAGTGTAAAAAATTTGAAAAAAAAAAAGTTTCTTTGTTTCTATTATAAAATTTTTCAAACAGGTATTTTTTCTCCTTCACTGATGTGCGTTGATGAGGCAGCACTGATGGGCACTGATAGGCGGCACTGATGGGCACTGATAGGCAGCACTAAAGGGCACTGATATGCAGTACTAATGAGGTGGCACGAATAGGCGGCACTGATAGACAGCACTAATTAGGGGTCACGGATAGGCGGCACTGATAGACAGCACTAATGAGGTGTCACGGATAGGCGGCACTAATATGCAGCACTGATAGGCGGCACTGATAGGTGACACTGATGATGGGTACTGATAGACAGCACTGACTGGCATCACTGCTGGGCTGCACTGGTGGGCGGCACTGGTGGGCAGCACTGGTGGGTGGGCACAGGTGGGTGGCACTGGTGGGCACAGGTGGGTGGGCACAGGTGGGTGGCACTGCTGGGCACAGGTGGGTGGCACTGCTGGGCACAGGTAGGTGGCACTTCTGGGCACAGGTATGTGGCACTGCAGAGTGGCACAGGTGGGTGCACTGCTGGGCACAGGTGGGTGCACTGCTGGGCACAGGTGGGCGGAGCTAGTGGGCGCACTGCTGGGCACAGGTGGGCGGAACTTGCGGGCGGCACTGCTGGGCACCGATCATCAGGGCACTGATCATCAGTGCCCTGATGATCGGTACCGATCCCCGCTCTGACAACTGCCGGTTCTCGGCAGTACTTTCCTCACGATCTGACAGCGTGAGGAAAGTGCAGCCGAGAACCGGCACTTGCATTTTCCTCTGATCAGTGTGTCATTGGACACCGCTGATCACGTGGTAAAAGGCCGCTGTGATTGGCCTTTTACCACATCACGTGATCGCTGTGTCCGTAGGACACAGCGATCACTGAGATCGCCGGGTGCACGCCCCCTGGGGCGCGCAGGAGAGCGCGTTCTGGGAGGACGTCATATGACGTCCACCCAGAACTGGCCGGCCGCAGTGCAGCCGTCATTCGGCTATCTGCGGTCGGCTACTAGTTAATAGCAAAAAGTCCAAAATATTGTTTTTTCTCAAAATTGTCGGTCTTTTTTTGCTTATAGCGCAAAAGACAAAAAATGCACAGATGATCATATACCACCAAAAGAAAGCTCAATTTGTGTGAAAAAAGGGATGTAAATTTAATCCAGGTGCGGCGTTGCATGACTGCACAATTGTCAGTTAAAATAACACAGAAAGGCTGGTAAATCCTCTGGAGGGCAAGTAGTTAAGACCCATTACTGGTGTACACAAGGATGTAGCGTAGTGACTGGAGAAAATCTCCTGACAGGGATAGACTGGTTATTGGATGATATCTCCAGCCAAATCTTTTCAGTTGACTGAAGGGAATGGAGTAGAAGAAAGCAAGCAAGTGGTTAAAGAAGGAGCACAAGCCTTATTTATGTAATATTTATTCAGCTGATTAAAATCATAACACAGAAAAAATTAATAATAATACATGTGACAGTTATGAATATGCAATCCTATTTAACTAACAGTAACTTCAGAAATGCTAAATTGGTGAATCTGAAAGCTGTAAGCCAGATGTGATTTTATTTGCACAATACTGCTGTTAAATCAGAAATTGTTAGGACCTTTAGGAATTATTTGCAATTTAGTGTAAAATTTCTTTATGCTCATGATTGTGCATTGTGTTAAGGTATCCCATTTATATTGAATGTACTGTCAACATTTTACAACACAGTCAAAATCAGACACATTACATTTTTTTATTGCCTCAGACCACAAACATGGCAATATGTTGCTTGCTACTGTTTAAGTTTGTTGAGATGCCATTCAAAATAAATTGTACTGCAACACTGCACCACATTACTGCAACACATACAGTAAGTGTGGCCCATCAAGAAAACCTCTGCTTAGTGAAATACTTTTCTTTTTGAAAATGTTGGCTGTCTTGGTGATCCAATAGCTTCTGAGTCACTGAGCTGGAGCAAGTATGCATATCAGAGGTTCTGACTTGTATTATGTTGTGCTTGTTCCAGGTCAGTGACCCAAAGTATGGAGACACCCAGTAAATTAGCATTTTCAGAAGAAGGTCAGAAATGGCTGAGTTTATATCTCCCCAAACAAATATGTCCTTTAATGTGCTGTTGGTAACATAAAAGAAAAATTAAAATGTAATATCCAACCAAATAACTACCTGTTTTCTGTACATTTTAAAATCAAAATAGGTTCTGTGTGAAAATAAATAAAATCATATATACTAAGTTTGATATATGTCTGCCCGCATATATTAATTCTGTTTTGTGTTCTGCACACTAACAGTCTACTGAAGTATTCCAAATTTAATAAACACAATAAAGCACCTAATTTACTACATTTACTTTCCCTGCCTCAGATAAAGATGACAAACTGGGAATTAGTGAATATATTCAATTACATTAGAAGAAAAGGGTTGATTAAGTAACCATATAGGATACAAAGTTATCATTTTTCATGTTAAAATATAGAGTGAAATCACCAAGTAAAGCTGCTGATTATCTTTCATATCACTGTATGACCAATGAACATTACAACGATTACCCAGAGGAGACACAGAAAATCAGAGTCTTTTGTCCCAGTCATTTCGTGGTTGGGATTATCACTGTAGAATGAATTATAGTCCAATTTCCATGTTAATTGTGAAAATGCTGTGCATATTACTGAACAAGCTCTCTTGCACACAAATGTAGTTTAATAAATTATATCTTGGCTCATTTACATTTTTGTACAGTATTTGCAATAGGATTTATATGGAGATGTAAATACATCGGGCCTGAGTTACTAAACCATATGCCAATTCATCAAAGATTCCAAGGAGCAGAAGGGACAAGAGCTGAGCACATTCGCTAACAAATGTGGTTCACCAAATAACGTAACCTCTAGCAGATAAAAGACCCCATGACTTTGCACTGATATTACTAAAAGTGGATGTAAAAAAATTCTGAAGCTAAAAATGCCCCAGACCATGCCGAATGCAGGGTGTATAACTGCAGACTTCGTACACAAGCAATTAAATACATTTCAGCTTGAAAATGTGAGTATACAATACATATAATATGCCACCTTGTTTGCTCAGCTAGCACAGATGTGGCTTTTTTAGGCTCAGTTCACACTACTGTCATGTAATTTTGACTTGATTTGCAGTGCTTTTATGTAGTGCAACTTTGATGCAACTTTGCGTTTTGGATGTGGTTTGCATATTCTATAAGGCCGCATCTTACTGTAAAACCAAAGAAATACAGAATCAAACCCTTGCCTAAAGTTGCATTGCAGCTGCACTGCATTGATGTGAATGGGCACCATTGGAAACAATGTTATTTCCATTGTCATTTTTTTTAGTCTGACCCAAATGCATTTGAAATTGCATCAGTGTGAACCAAGCCTTAGAGCATTTCCTCTGCTTGGTGCATGACCACTTTTATATTTTTTTTATGTTTAGGTATTTCTTTGTTCACCTTGAATAAATATACGGCATAAAGACCATGGTTAATGTTATTGACCCAATAAATGAGTTGATTTACTAAATGCAAATAGACTGTGCACTTTGCAAGTACAATTGCACTCTACAAAGTGCAGTTGCTCCAAAGCTTAGTAAATGAGATGAAGCTTCACTTTATTAAGAATTCCCAATTACATGCAAGAGAAATAAAAAAAAACAGCATTTTTGCTTGCACATGATTGGATGATGGAAGTCAGCAGAGTTTCCCCTCATTTGCTGAGCTCTGGAGCAAATTCCCTTGCAGGGTGCAACTGCACTTGCAAAGTGCACAGTCTATTTGTCTTTAGTAAATCAGCCCCTTTATTGGGTCAATACTATTAATCTTAGCTACTGTACATTCCGCCCCTGTATAATTCTGTATCCTGGTAAATTTCAACTACCAATATTTATTTATAATTATTTTTTATAAAATGTTTATCTCTTTGCAAGGAGAAAGAGAGAGATACAATGTATCTCTCTACTTCATTCAGAGAAATAGAAAACACGGCTTCACATACACTATATTGACAAATGTATTGGGACGCCTTTACATGCACATGAACTTTAATGGCATCCCAGTCTTAGTCTGTAGGGTTCAATATTGAGTTGACTGGCCATTTGCAGCTATAACAGCTTCAACTCTTCTGGGAAGGCTGTCCACAAGGTTTAGGAGTGTGTCTATGGGAATGTTTGACCATTCTTTCATTTGTGAGGTCAGGCACTGATGTCGGACGAGAAGGCCTGGCTCGCAGTCTTCACTCTAATTCATCTCAAAGGTGTTCTATTGGGTTGAGGTGCAGGCCAGTCAAGTTCCTCCACCCGAATCTCGCTCGTCCATGTCTTTATGGACCTTGCTTTGTGCATTGCCATGCGGCGCACTCCCAGCACAAAGACATATATGCATTTGCGGTCCCATGGAAAAAGGCTCATTCCAGTGGAGCCACATACTGTACATGTGTACGCTTGGTGAGAAGTTAAAGAGGAGCTATAATCAAAATGGTTTCTCTTTTGCACATATGCAGTAAATTATGTGTGGGTCTCTTGTTTTTGAGGCCAACAGCTGTGCCAGGGCTAAGGGTATTTGGAGGCATTGCCTCCATAGATGTTCAACAGTGCCCCACCAAACCTGGTGGCACTGAACGATTATGGGTTTTCTAGCAGCTACTGATGCTGTGATCTGGGGTGAGAAAGACTGCCTGAATGAATGCTGGATAGTTAAATTATGTTTCCAGTCCAAACTTGCTTTTTAGAACCCTTGGCAATTTTACTGCTGTTTCGGGTTCCATTTGGAAAGGCTAATGTTTCTGTCAGCTTTTTGTTTCAGTCTGTGTCCCTGTTGCAGATTTTCCACCACTTCCTGGCTGGCAAAGCTGTTGCACTAGGGTTAAAAGGTAGCAAAGGTAGCCACAAAAACCCAGTAGTGGTTTTATCCTTACCCCGTTCTAACCAAAATGAATAAAAGATTTCTTTATCATCTATTGAGAGACACAGGGTGGTATATGTTTTGGACATGTGGGGTTAGACAGCTCCTTCAGGAAAAACAAAAAATGTTACATCAGCCCTTTTAAACCTCCTGCCTTTAACTGTCATGCTTCAATTTATGCTAGTGTCCTAAGAGGTTGGATGCCATTCTTCTCCGCTCTGCTATGGAAAAAATATATATAACATAAAATAAAATATTGTTTCCTCATCAATCAAGATTCTTGATATACTGTAACTACAAGGAAGACCTTAACAAGATGCGTGAGCATCTTCTCACAGCAGTTATCCAGATCAACACATCCACAGCAACAGCTTTGGAAGCCATACCCAGACCTTCCTGGACTGAAGGTTGGGGGCTAGCCTGGAACGTGACATTTGGGTACCTGGTTTTGACGCTTTCCAGACCTTGGCGTACTGTGGTTTTTAGCCGTCACTCTGTAAGATGGGGTGGAGATAGCCTAGATGTCATTCAGACTCTGCATTATGGCACTAGACCTGTTTATATTTTGTCAGTAGTCTAGTATCTGAAACCAGGGCCATGACACAGCTCTTGGTGTGACCTAGTCCCTACTCTCTTGCTTTGTTAATGAAGTGTTCAAACTTAACCTCCCTGGCGGTATGATTATTTCAGATTTTTGGTGCTGAAAGCGGTACCATTTTTTTGCATGGAAATATGTATTTTTTTTATTGTAGGCTGTAATTTTTAGGAAAAACTCACTGAAATCTGTCCGAACAAGAGTCTAGTAAACATCCCGGGTATGATAAAATTTGAAACACAAAATCATAAATTATAATTTAATAAATAATCATAAAAATAATATAAAAATAATAATAAAAAATTAAATTCAATAATATAATCAAACCAAAAACACTGAAATGTGAAATATAGCGCCAAGTTCGCACATTGCTGAGCTCAGTCGCAAAATCGTTTTCAGTTTCTGATGACGAATTTCCCCCACGAATCATTATCACTCAATTCTGTAAGTGGTTCTGATTTACTATCGCTGTTCTCTAGCTGATCTAAACCGCTTTTGACCTAAAGGGACACTTTTTGGACGCCATGGACTTTTCTCAGTTTCCAGGCAGAAAGAACAGACAAAATGCAGGCAGGGCGCAGGACAAAGCACTAGGGACAATATGTATGTGAAATAGGTTGAAACAGCAATGTTTTACTGTTTAAAATGGAAAAAAAAAAAAATGACATTTTTTAAAATTTTTAAATTTCCCGCGGCGGCGCCCGTACGTCCCGACGTCACAGGGACAGGACACAGAAGCCGGATGCCGGCATCGGCCGGAGGAGATGGCCGGGGACGCTGCAGGGGACACATCGTGGGAGCGCAGGGTAAGGTAAGTGAAGAACACATGCCGGAGCAGTGCCACA